ACTATTGTCGAGTTTGAATCTTTTATTTGAAAAGCAACCAATCGTAATGTGCCACATAATAACCAAAGTAAATTATAAATTTCATAGGAAGAGGAAACGACCTAGTGATCATCCCATGATCTTTCATCTCGGACAAAGTTCTTTTCATATTAAAGTCTTATAAGGTCATCTTCAGAGAAACTTTAATGTTGACTATAGAGTCAATCGTAAAAATATTAAAAGCAGTTGCAGACATAATGCAACCCCATATTAAATGTGGATGTGCCAAATATGAACTATCATTTACTTCAAAGATCTAATAAAATACTCTGGATGTTACAATAAGATTATTTAAAGTTTGAGATCCCATAATAAATCATATTCAAACTTCTATAAAAACCAAGTCAGAATGATTTTTTTTTTGTCAATAAACTTACTTCATTTATGTAACTGATCAAAGTACAAAAGGAAGGAATTGAGTATCCTCCAACATTACTACAACATAATTGAAATCCAATAAAACATAGAATAGATAGATCATTGCAGAAGATGCACAACAGATCCAAGGCATGCCTCAGATGCATCAAGAGGGTCATCGCAGCAAAGCCATAGAGTCTCAGGTTTGTCATTTTCCAGTGTGACTTTTCAGATCCCGGCATAAAACTCGGAAATTCGACCACTACCCAAGAGAGGGAAGAAGATACGAGTTACGACCAGTCTCAAAGAGATGAAAGAAAATGGAATTGAACTCTTCCACCGGGAATAAATTACAGGATTTGAGAATTCAGAAAACTTTGATGTTCTCTCAACAGAAAAGATATTGAGCTCGTAAATTACAGGATTTTTGAGAATCCAGAAAACATTGAACCTCTCACAATAGAGAAGGTAGATGATTCAAAAGATCTTCCCCCCCCCCAAGGGAAGGAAAGTGATAACATGTTTCTTCTGGAAAATCCAGAAGCAGATTCGGATGAAGGGCCATGGGCTCCTTGTAGTGTATCTCTCATACGAATCATGACAATAATCTTTGCAAAAGCAAAGAGAAAACCATCAAGATAATTGAACATATCATTAGACGCAGGGCCATAAGAGATTGATCTTACTGGGCCCATAAGTGATTTATCCCATGAGGGAGATAGGGTTTTCGTCGGTTGGGGAAAAGGAGGAGCGGCTGTGAGTGATCGGAGAAGTGGTTCCACGACGGAGATCGAGCCATCGGTGACCAAGCCGGTGGAGAACGTGACGGCGACGAGCGGTACGACGGAGAGGAAATTTCAACCGGTGGAGCGAATGGACCCGGAAGACGAGAAAGAGAGCCTAGATCCGGAGGATCCGACGGCTCCGATGGGAGAAGTCCGCTTAGCTGCGCCAAAGAAACCAATATCGGACGGTGGACGAGAGTCTCGAGCAGGCCGCTTTGTGTTGTCGTTGCGGAGGAGTGAAGCTTGAGGAGAACCATCGATACAATCTCAGGTGAGATGAAGAAGAGACGGAGACAAGGCTGTTGACGTGGAAAGTAGATCATACCAATTATATAAAACCTTAGATGTTCATACTCATCGCCTTATGTTCACAAGAAATATCTACATTAAAAAATACGTTATCTTACTAACCTTCGCTAGAGAGTTATGTCTAAGACAAAAATCTGCGGTGATGTAGCTCTGACTCTATCGTATACTTCATTTTCGTTCAAAGATAAAAGAAATTGCTGCAAGAAAACAAATAATACACCCATCATAGTTATTTTAATGCGTTTGCAAATCATCTAAATTCATTCACTATTATTATATTTTTGATCAAACCAAAACAAAATTTTTTCTCAATTAATTACCTCTTTGCCACAATACCCTACAACATTCAGCACAGAGTCTATACATCCTATGTTCTCGTTTTACTCAATATCCATTTATGCCTCATACGTCAACGCTGTATCAATACATCTCATGTTCTCGTCTTACTCAATTTATGTATCCTCAATATATGTAGCCTCATAATCCAGCTTTGAGTATACACATCCAATGTTCTCGTCTTCCTTAGTATCTATATGTGCTTCATAATTCAGCGATGAGTCTTCATTATCCACTATATTGAACATTCTCTCCCTCCTTAGCCTTCTTCATTTTCTAGTTGTCAGCTTTCAAACCACAAAAACCCAATGAACAAGCATGAAAAACTACATAACTTATGGAAAGTTCATTGTTTGCTTTTTGCAACTTATTATGTTACAATTTAAACAAAAATCAATTAATGGGCTTTTCAAGAGATTTAGATTTCTAACATTTTCTTCATCACAAATCAAATCTTTAGTCTCCTCTACACTAGTATAAGAAATACAAAACACGGAATACTGTAAGACATACTGTATATATAACGCATGGAATCTCGGGATTTTTTTAGTATCTAAGTATTTAGCACCATATATAAACAAGTAATAAATATTGAGAATTTTTTTACGGCAAGTGAACTGAACAAATCATATATTTAGCAAAAGTTAAAGAGAAAATCACGGAGTCAAGATGTCAACAGGGCATAAACAAATATAGCAATGGGGGCAGTAAAATGTTAGCTTCATTAATTACATTAAAAATGAAAAAAGTAGTGGTGGTATTTGCCCCCATCTTGGCCTATGTAGATCCGCCCGTGGGTATAATTAAGTGTAAATGTATTTGACAAGAAAAATGTATTTAACCGAGTATCTTTTTCAAACATTGAATAATAAATGCATATTATTCTATGAGACATCAAATTCGGCTAAAAAAACAAATTTTCGTAACTAGGTGCAGAACATTTTATTTTTACTAAAAGTACCTTATATTTTTATGGTTAATGTGTGTATATATACTAACCTCATTAGTATAATTATTACTAAAATATAGTAAATGTACTATAATTAATATGTATAACTATGTATAAATATAGC